TATAATTGCAACTAAAAAAAAAAAAAAAAAAAAAAAACTAGCGAATAATACAGAACGAACCATGAAGAAGGTAAGCGAAAAAAATTAACCCTAGCTAAACAGGTTTTCATTTCTCTATCAAGGGTTAAAAGAGATGTGTGTACACCGAAATCAAGAATTTCCTCTTAGTAAAAAGCAATCGAGAGTGAGTCAAATATTTTCTGCACATTCACCATAGCTTATCTTTAGGCTTATCACATTGCCTTATGTTCATACATTATTATAATTGCAACTACTGTGATCCCGTGATCAATGTTTGAGCTTAATCGCACCAGTTTTCTTTCAGCTCTTACAATGCAAACATGGCCGATCCGCTAGCAGTTTGCACCAAGGAGGAACACCGTGCAGTGATCCGAATCTGTGAAGAACACGTTATCTGATCGACGATAAATTGCCTGTTAGCCATTACAATCTATAGAGCTTGTTGAATCTTCTCTTACGTTGGTGTTTCATGTGCCACGCTTATCCGGACACTTTTAAACTTCTCGATCCAGCCATACATCCTTTTATGCTGTAGTGCTCTGTCGCCGTATCGTGTTAAAAACCTCCAATGAATTTCAGCTTCTGACACTGTGATCCGATTTCTCTGTTCGGAAGGAACAGAGAAATCGGATCACAGTTCGGGATCGTTACATTCATTTACGTACTAATACTCTTGGGGAAGGTATGAAGCCATCTTTTCTTCCTCCAGATTTGAGTAAAATAGCAGGGTAGACTGGATCCTATAGCTTTGTGTGGCAACCGGTCTAGAAGGACAACTATGAATTCAAAACCTGTAAGCATAATGTACAGATTGACGGCGACCCACACCAAGGGCTACGCACATCATATTCCGTGTTCTTCAGCTGTCGGTCAAAAGTTTGGAAAGGAGATGGGCGCCGCCAGGCTATCTGAAAGACCACTGAAATGGTCATGAGGAAGAAGAATCCGAGTCTTTTACTTCTGATCCCGGTCCCCCACCACAACGATTCTCCTTATAGTTTTTTTTTCTTCCTTCTTTTCCTTATACTTCTTCTTCGTATACATTTTTCCTTTCCTTCCACTTGCTATTTTTGTTGCTATTGTTCATATTCTTCTTTCTTTCTTCTTCGGATTCTATTTATTATTATTATTATTATTATTATTATTATTTCTAGGGTAGATTTACCTTTTGAGAGTTCTGAGGTGATAATTTTCTTTTCAGCATCACTTAAACTGCTTTTACGGCCCATAATTTCAGTAAATTCTTAGACTTTTCTAATAATTTGGCACGCTCAAATCGCCAGTTTGTTTACATTGCGCAGATCAGTACAAAAATTTCAGTGATTGCGCAGATCAGTGTTGCCAACATTGTGTGAAAATTTTGTGTGAATCTATATTATAATAAAAGCTCTACTGTCGAGAGGGCTGCTGCTGCTGATTATTATTATTATTATTATTATTATGATTATTTGATATTCCGATTCAGTCAGTAATTTTGAATTTCATTTTTAGCGAACCGGAAGTGAAAGCGTAAGTGAATGCTTCCATGGCTAAAACATAAATGAAGGAAAGGTCTATGCTCACTTATGGCTTCTCTATGATAAATAAAATAAATTAAGGAAATATTTCAAAACGCATATTTTCCCTTTTGAGAGTTTCTGGATCTCTACATAGATGGTTTAAATTTCGTTTTATTTCGTCGAGAGATTTTCTTCAACTGCCAACACAAGAACTTCGAGCCTATCTTGAACATAAGGATTTTCAGCTGGGAATGAAATAATGACCGTTTACTTGGTGATGAGGGCTCCTAGGAGCGGCAATATAAGCTATTTCCGATCAGTATCATCCCAAATATTTCAGTCTCTGAGCTCTGATTTATAACTTTTTTTTTCGCCAGCTCGCGGTAGTCCTTACTGGTCAGCATGAGCAATGAGACCTATCTGACAATGTTTTCATGCATTGTCTAAAATCTAGTAGCCGCCGATGTTGAAGCACATGAATAAACTGCAATCATTTCTTCAAATGTTTTCGTCATTCAATCGCCGGTTTCGATCACGCCATATTTTTCTGAATCTAGCCACCACAATCATCCAATAAGCGGCATCTAAAATTTTAAGTTAAACCTGAGTGACAAGGAGTTGCCCCAGGCAATGTTGTTAGTTAGCAGTCTTTTTCACTCCAACAGTTTTTGACAATTAGAATATTTTTATGATTTTCAGCTCTAGGGTATTTGGAAATTTTAGAATTTTTGGAAGTCTGATTCCAATCCTCATGGCCAACAATTCTTTACTTCTCCGGTGAGGCCCTCGCTGAATTTACGTCTTCTAATTGTGTTTTATCCGAATGTCTGGATTCACTATAGACTCAACCTGTTTGCTTTGTTCGCTATAATATCGTGTTATCTTAAGAGCGGAATACGATTTTTTTTTTACTTTTGTGAAGGAGTGAAAAGAATTAATGTATATACGAATAATAATAATAATAATAATAATGATAAACAGAATCCGAAGAAGAAAGAAAGAAAGAAAGAAAGAAAGAATGAAATAAAGAAAGAAAGAAAGAAGAATATGAACAATAACAACAAAAACAGCAAGAGGAAGGAAAGGAAAAACGTATATGAATGAAGTATAAGGAAAAGAAAGAAGAAAAAACTATAAGGAGAAGTATAAGAAGAAGAAGTATAAGAAAAAGAACGAAGACTAAAAGTAAAATACGAAGAAGAATTATAGGAAGAATTAATATAAGGATAAGCAGTATATGAAAAAGGAAGAAGTAGAAGTATACGAAAATGTAGAATTATAAGAAGACGTATAAAAAGAAATATAATAATAAGTCTAAGAAAAAGAAGTAATATAAGAAGTATATGAAAAAAAAGAAGAAGAAGAAGAACAACAACAACAACAACAAGAAAGAAAGAAGAAGAAGAAGAAAAAGAAGAAGAAAAAAGAAGAAGAAAAAGAAGAAGAAAAAAAGAAGAACAAAAAAGAACAATAAAAATAGGAAGAAGAAGGGAGAAGTGATGACAATAAGAAGACAGACGGATTAGAAAGAAAGACATTCTGAGGGATGTGAAAAAGACGATGGGACAATTTAAAGAATAAGAATTAAGGATCAACAAGAGGAAACGAAGAAAAAAATGGATTCCAAAAGGAATCGGAGAGAGGGAAACCGGAAGAAGAAATAAATAGAAAGAAAAGGACGACCAGAAGAAGAAAAAAAGAGGGCTTCTCTTTAAAAAAAATCAATTAAAAGAAAAAGGACGAAAGAAAAACAATTAGAAAAAGACGGGTTGCAAAAAGAGACAATGACCAGAGAAGAAGAAAGGAAGACAAGAAGAAGAAGAAAGAAAGAAGATGAAGAAGAAAGGAAGAAAAGAAGAAGAGGAAGAAGAAGAAAGGAAGAAGAAGAAAGGAAGACAAGAAGAAGAAAGGGAAACAAGAAGAAGAAAAAAAGAAAGGAAGACAAGAAGAAGAAGAAGAAGAAGAAGAAGAAAGCAAGGGTATTGAAAGAAATATTGTAGCTTAATACTTTCGATTGCTGCAACTTTAAAGGCATTTGGCCAGCTTCCTATTGAAGAATTAACATTAATGGACAAATATTGCAACTCCTCAATTCTCTCACAGCAAGCAAGAGTTTGGCGGGCGAAACTGGCCCTAATTAGTAATTAACAATTAGCAACGCTCTTGTTAAACTCTAGGATTAGCTTTCATTATCAATTATTTCCTAATGCTTTCAATAGAGGTGCACAAATGCAACGACGAATTAATGGTCGATGTCAAGGAAATATGTTAGATCCAGTTTCATAAACCACGAACGGATTTTGTTTTTTTTTCAAACAAAGGTGACAATGGGTTATTATAAGACCTGGGTTAAAATGTTGACCTACTGATCATGCTAATGTCTCATCGCATCACATAAGTGGTATTGTAAACGTGTGGTTTAACTCGGCTCGGTGTTTTTAGCTCGCACTTTCAAAATTTGATGCTAACAGTTAATTATATGAATTATTGCAGTACGACGCTGAGATTACAAGAATCGTGTTTTTGTATTTGTTCGTTCAACATCAAGATTAAAAGGCGACCAGAAACAGATTTATTAGCGAAAGAGGATATCGACAGGCGACGATTAAGAACATTATAGTTCAACACGAAAAGAGAAGTATTTAAAGCCATAGTTTTTGGGGGTTTTTTTACCTTGTGGGTGGGGGGGCACTTTCTCTCTTTCTGATGGATTGCTTCTAAAATAGGTATGATCATGAATCTCCACAGCTTCCAAAAACTATTACTCTCAGAAATACTTTCATTTAATTTTAAATACTCCTTCATCTATTTGCACAATTCTTTCCAGGATACAAACTGTTTTTTTTATTATTATTATTATTATTTCACTCCAGACAGGCAATAAAGCCACTAAGGTGCAAGGGGTTACTGAGTGTTAGAGAATATGGTGAAAATACTATTAAGGAGAGATAACAAAAAATATCAATAATTAAGAAGATATTATATAACGATTGATTATACCCTTGAAGAAAGTATGAATTCCCCTCTTCCGCCCCAGCTATGGGTTAATTAGTAAGAGTTGATTATTATCTCAAAAAAGAAGCTTACAATTTTAAAAAAATATTTTCTGGCTTTAAATACCTGCAAAGGATTGATAAATTGTTGAATACGAGTGAATCAATAAACTGCCTATTTAAAAGGTTCTTTTCTGTATTCTGAGTCAACAGAAGATTGTTTTTATTCACTATATCATAACTGAAGAATCACTGGTCTCTGCATGTTTAGAAAGTGGATATCTGATTTGGGCTGGTCAAGAAAATCTTAAATATTGACCACCTATCATTTTGATTCGGCCTTTCAGGAGACAAGAGGCTTCACAGAACTATAGACATTACAATGGCTTACGTGAATACTCAGAAGTTTGCAATAGGCATTTTACTATATTTTAACAATAGTTACTTCAAAGCAAAAACGGATTATTGCTGCCGTATCTGGGCTGGAGTTTCCCAATCCTTTCTTTCCAGCCTTGATTGAATATTATTATTGTAGCATACCTACGGATGATAATGGGTATGTCCCCATTCATATAAATACAGTAGTAAATACTGTATGTTGATCTGCAGTCAGATATGTCTCCAGCTGTGCCTCCGGGCAGAGAGAATCCCAAGACGAGGAAGGGCAGAATCTCGTCTCGGGAAACAGCTACCCGACTCCGTTTTATACTGGGTTTACGGTGATTTTTAGCCGAGACCACTGGCTCGAATACCCCACGTTAAATTCGGACTTGTACCACATCTGACCGCATGGAGAGGTTGGTAGATATCCTGCAGTTGGAGATTTGTCTCCAGCTGTGCTGGTCAAACTGTCAGTCTCAGGGCAGATAGGATACCCAGACGAGGCTATGTCGAAAGGCAGAGTATCGTCTCGGGAAAAAGCTACCCAACCCCGTTTTATACGGAGTCTACGGGGAATATTTGGCAGAGCCTACGAGCTCGGATACCCCACATTAAACTCGGCCTTCTGATAGCATGGAGCGGTTGATAGATATCCTGCAATTGGAGATTCATTGTGGAATTCACTTGACTCACTTCTAGCAGTTGACTACTTCTGCTATGCGCTCCTACGAATCTTGTCTTGTACTTGTCCTAATTATTATCGTTCACTACCAACCTTTGTTTGATTATTCTATTTAGTAACCTTCCCTAGGTTACAACAATTTTTAAACTTACAACTTCTTTCTCACTGACAAAACATTGTAATCTTATCTCTACGATTTCGTTATTTCCATAGTAAATATGCAGGTGAGTTCCATTCTCTAGTTCCCACCATCCACACCTTCACTGTTCGTACATCCCATACCATGTAAATGGCGTCGAATCAACTTCATTCCCTTCATATTTCGTTAGTAAAATGACTCAAAAAGCTTCTTTCCAAATATTGTTTCTTGTGCAAGTCGAAAGGTTGATCACGATAAAATTCCTCTTCAAGTCTAAGGTGAAACGTTTTCCAAGCTACATATCTTCATAATCTCCAATTAATTTCTCCTCTAACAGGTATAAAATAGCTTCACTAACACTCTATCATGAGTGGCTCTTAGTCCTGTCATTGGGTGAATATTTATCAATCAAAAATAGTAAAGATCGGCGTATTTGACCGTATCCTTACTCCTAGGAGTAGCTGACCTATAACTGCAAGGCATGACAGTAAAGTCACTATAACATTTCATTCTATGAGTATTAGTAACTCTCTTTCCTGTAACAATTTAACATGTGAAATTAACAGAATATTATTACGATAGGTAATTCGATACTCACTGGTGTGTACTCTGTTTATCTGTACAAGGCCCGAGGACCACTCATTCTATGATTATTAGTAACTCTGTTTCCTGTAACAATTTAACATGTGAAAATAACAAATTATTATTACGATAGGTAATTCGATACTCACTGGTGTGTACTCTGTTCATCTGTACAAGGCTCGAGGACCACTCATTCTATGATTATTAGTAACTCTGTTTCCTGTAACAATTTAACATGTGAAAATAACAGCATATCATTACGATAGGTAATTCGATACTCACTGGTGTGTACTCTGTTTATCTACACAAGGCCCGAGGACCACTCAAGATAGAGGGTTACAGAGTAAGAGGCACAAATTTTACAGATATTTACGGAAGATAACGGTTAACCCGACATTTGAACAGGTTGTAGTGATCGGGGGAAGCACTCTCTTGTGAATCTGTTCCAAGAAGCAGCGGTTTGTTGGAAGCTGTTCGAGTGGAATTTACATCTCACCAGTGGTATACGAAGGGAATGAGGGTGGTTCGCTACTATGGGCGTGGTATGGTGGCTCTTAGCCGTGACTGTTAGAACTGGTGGATCTAAGGACTGTAGTTCATCCTTACACTTTCCGTGAAAATAGCGACAGAGCAGCGTGTGGCGTCCATGGCAAAGCGCGGTTGTAGGATCGAAAATAACCTCTCACCTCCATTTTTCGGTTGTTGTAAAGATGAATAGAAGGTTGAGTAAATATGAATATATTTACTGAAGTGTCAAATAATTTCCGTCCTCAATTCTAAAATCATATATTAATCTCTTCTTAATAAATGATAACTTGAACGTATCACGCATTATTCATTTTTCGCCGAAAATCGAGCAATAATTACTTTCTCATTCGATGTGAACGTGCCTCAGTGAGGATTTCAAGCTAACAAAAATATTTCCTAGAATTTTCCACAAGAAAATGCCGGCAAAAACCGTCTGAAAACTCGGAGGCATCGGTAATTGGACAAGCAAGCCCACTGGCGAACGAATAACGGTCATTTGTAGTCCCTTTGGGCGAACAACAGCATTGTCTAATTCGTTTTTGTGTACACAAGAAATGTCCATAATTATTTTTATGCGTTGTCATCTCGAAGTTTTCAGGCGGCTTGGCTTTACTTTTTTTTCAGCATGCGCGTACGTGGCTTATTATGCCGCCATCTTTTTATATAGATTCTTGTTGGGTTTTTTTTTTCTTATTTGATGATTATTATAAGTTTTTACGCGTTTTTTTCCCTTTATTATAACATTTATTATTTTTCTTTGAAAAGCTGCGTCATATATATATATATATATATATATATATATATATATATATATATATATATATATCATTATTTTTATGTTTAGTAGGTTATTTGTTTTTATTTTCATACATTTTATTCCTGCATTTAGTGTTCTCTTTTTGGTTTTACTTTTTTGTTGTTTTTTTATCAGTATTTGTAAATTGACGGGAATTTGATTTCTCGCCATTTTCTTGTTCACTGTCTTTGTAAATGCGGTTATTTGTCGTAGTTTACCGCGCTTTCTCTGCAATATTGTTTCCGCGTTATTACTCTGAGTACACCCATAATAATAATAAAAATGATAATAATGGTGATGATGATGATGGCGTGTAGGTGGAGAATAAGGTAGAGAAGGATGATTTGGCGATATTTCATAACTTTCTTAATATTCTCTCCTGTTTGTTTGTTTTTTTTTTTTTCCTTTTTCCACTCTGGCTTCATTAATTTTACTTTCTCTTTTTCCGATATATTTCTCTTTATAACTTTTTCCTTCTTTTCTCTTTTTCTTCAGAACGTCTCTCTATTTCTCACTTTTTTACGTTCTTTTCATTTTGACTTTCTTTTTTTCATTCTTTCTATTTTTTCCAGCCTTCCCTTCTCTGTCCTGTCTTTCTTTCATTTTTTTCATTCTTTCATTCTTTCTTTCTTTCTTTCTTTCTTTCTTTACTTTACTTTACTTATATACTTATATTTTTCATTTCGTTCTCTTCCCTTGTTCTTTTTCTTTATTCTTTCTTTACTTAATTATATTTTCATTCTATTCTGTCCCTCTCTCTGCTCATTCTTTTTCTTTCTTTCTTTCTTTCTTTATTTATTTATTTAATCATATTTATTCTCGTTTTAAATCATTCTGAAATCTGTTCTTTCCTTCTTTATTTTTCTCTCTTTCTTTCTATTTTTCTTCTTGTCTTTCTTTCGGTCTTTTTTTTACTTACTTAATGATTTATTTATGGCCACTTTAAATCACTCCACACTTCTTACTTTCTTTCTTTCTTCCATTCTTTCTTTCTTTCTTTCTTTCTTTCTTTCTTTCTTTCTTTCTTTCTTTCTTTCGTTTATAAGCAACTTTCTTTTTCTCTTTTCCCATGATATTACCTCTTCATTTTTCTCTTCCCTTTTCAATTTTCTATCCGTTTTTCTTTCTTTCTTTCTTTCTTTCTTTCTTTCTTTCTTTCTTTCTTTACTTCTTACTTTCTTTCTGTCTTTCTTATTTTTATGTCAAGCGAATCGATAGGGAACTCATATTGAAACAAAATATGTGTTATGATAATGAACTGATTTACTTGATTAGGCTAGGAACTCATTCCTTTGTTACCATTCCAATCTGTTTATATTTCATTCCATGATTGTCACTTCATGAACGTACGCTTTCTGACCATAAGACCCGTTTTCAAATCTCACTTGTCTTGATGTTACCGATTTGGGAGGTGGCCGTAGACTGCGGCACGTTTGCAAAGTGTTTGAAAAACATGGTGAGTGAAATTGTGTTGACAGAACTCTTTGGAGAACAGCACGAAGAGATTGTGGGTTTTTTCTAAGAATTTCACCCCAAGCAAGGCTGGAAGCCACTAGGACGCAAGGGGTTACAGAAAAATTTAGAGCAAAAACAGATAGGAGTGATAGAAGAAAGGATGAGGAGAAGGAGAGTGGATAGATCAAGGCAACTAGAGATGTCGATTGACATTACACTTGAATAGATGGAGATTATAGCTCACAGGGAAACAGGAATCGGGAAGGCAGTTCCACAGGCGAGAGGTGCGAGTATTAGAGTAGAAGAGACGGCTACATTTAGGAGTTTCGACAGTGAAGGGGTGGGAGCGGGATGCCAGCCTCGTATGGCGCTGGAACTCATGACGTCTGGGAACCAGCGAATACAGCTCCTCGGAGCAATTTCTATGGAAGTATTTGTAGAACAGACAGAGGGAGGCGACGGTGCGCCTGTGAGAAAGTAACTGTAGACGAGATGCCAGAGCAGGGCCAATTATATTGCATATCCGCCTCTGGAACCTCGAGGCAAACAGCGGCACCAGACCATATATGGCAGGTTTGAGCGAGCTGGCCTTGTTCTCACTGTTCATCACACTGCGCTCTCCCCGAGAAACTAAAACTATGGTCGACTCAGCATTGACAGAACACTTTGTAGTATGAATAGTTGTAGTATAAACCACAGGTGCGTTCTGTGGTTGTTAAACAAAAACAAAATGTGCCTAGTAGAAAGGCATCCTCCTATACGAGTGGCCAGTCATTTTTATGTGACTATATATCTGTTAGTAATATGTAACCCAGTCCTACCTGACACAGGATCGTGTTATCGGTAACTAATCCGGTTATCCAGGATTTTCTCGTGAGGATGGTGGACAGAAGTACCTAATTTTGTGTTTGGACGTGTCGGACTACTTCGCCTTCATTACGGTATCTAGAATATTCTGATATCTGTGACTTAAGAGTATCCAATAATGTCGACCGGTTCTTTATTCTTACTCACAAAAAGGTAGATTCCTCAGTTTCAAAAATTCATGCCCAGACGTTGTTTAATATCGTGAATAATAAAGCATTTTTGCCGGGAAATCTTGCAATAAACATACACAACTACGAAGTGGTAGCCATCTTGACGAAGAATCAATCCAGAATCTCGTGTTTTTACATTTAGTCCGAAATAGTGAAGTGGACCGGAACATTATAGTAACTATTCGTAAGTATATATTTACGTGTCTATGGGCACCTCGAGGCGATGTAATGGTTAGCAAGCTTTTCATGCAAGAACAATTACGACTGAGTAGTGAGTTCGATCCTCACTGGGTGCCCCATACTTTTGAATGTGTGCCACATCTATGATACGCTTGGAAAATCACTATATTTACGTGTCTACGTATGAGAGAGGCTAAAAAGTTCTCATCCCGACCAAATTCGCAAAAAATCTCAACAAAAACAAACAAACAACGGAATTAATGGGTAAGCAATGGGTAATTACATTGTCGCAACTTTTCCACACACTTGTATATTAACATGAGTTTTTTTTTTATATATATGAGCCTGTATTATTCTCTCCATCTCACTTTCTTTCTTCTCTCTCTCTCTCTCTCTCTCTATATATATATATATATATATATATATATATATATATATATATATATATATATATATATATATATATATATATATATATATATATATATATATATATATATATATATATATATATAAATATATATGAAAGGCTTGCTCTAGTCGTGACACGATATTCAGACGACGTGAAAGCCATTCTTTTTCATTTTTCTCGCTCTGTCTAGGTAATCTATGCCTTGAGCACTCTTTTTCTTACTGCTGATTTTATCTTACTTAAAGGCGCTTAGGTCTTTTGGAAAGGTGTCCGTTGTTTTTTTCCTTGTTTTTTTTTTTTTTTAATATATATATAACGGGTGGAAAGAGCGAAATTGTCCAATTGTTGGATTAATCTACGAACCGTTGTATCTTAGAAATGCTTAAATATATATTACTGGAATTCGCTGAAGTTTTTATAACATCATTGGGCTCTATTTTGAGCAATAAGAATGTATAATTACTCTCCAAACTTCACAGAAGAATCGAGATGAGATCGATAATTGATCATAAACGAAAATGCCATGTTCGTCATTAATTAATCATAGCTAAGGATCCGAAACACATGAAGGATTGAAATACGGTTCATATATATATATATATATATATATATATATATATATATATATATATATATATATATATGTTATTCAAAGGTCTTTTCCCAAACTATTCAAGATGATCATCGTCCTCTCTAATCTTCTAACTTTCTGTCCTGGAGTAAGAAGTTGCCTCACAGGTTTCACATACGATTCAACTTTCAAATCTTTTTCACTGCTCTTTGGAAGCTGAAACTCTTCTCTCATATGCCAAACATCTTATTGAATTGAGTTGCATTTTTTCTAATTGAACTCATTATAGAATTGCATCCATGTTCATAGTTGATATGTTGACCGTGTTTTGAAAACAAAACATTCTATAATGCCAAATACATACATAAAAGTATCCATTTCCTATAAATATAATTCATCCTTAAGAATTTTTAAATATATAGTCGAAAGTGCTTGGAAAAATAAAACAAACATAAATATTCCTATGAATCTATTGCTCTAGTCGTAACACGATCTTCAAACGACTTGAACGCTATTATTTTTCCTTTTTTTTACATTTTTCTCACTCTGTCTAGGTAATCATTAAAATGTTCAATATCAGGGAGAGAGCGTGTGTAAATATAAAAATGAAAATTGAAGTAAACACCCAGAGGCGACAGTCTGTTTCGTGCTAAACGCAATGGTCTGGTCATATGCGTTGTGTTGCTAATTGAGTAGTTATATATACAGGTCAGTATTGCATTGTGGACAGTCCATTGCCTTATTCTAACGATTATTTTGGTGAGCGGTAACGGTTATTTTTCGAAATGTTCTAGGGGCTATTGAGTGGGAATAATTGTGGCTCATGATGCAGTATTGGCTATGTGTAGTGTGGTTTAGTAACTTTATTATTTATTATTTATTAATCTGTTGCTGTTGATTTTATTACGTTCATGTGTGCGTTGATATTTTCTTATTTTTTTTAATTATTTACTTAGTTTCTTTACTTACTTAAATAGTTTATTTACTTACTTAAATAGTTTATTTACTTACTTATTACCTTGGATGAATTTATTTTACATACTTTTGTTTATTTTATTTATTTATTTTTATTTCTTCTGTACGTTTTCAGTCTTTGATTTTTGCGTAACGTAGTGAGACTATATACGAAGTGTGGACACTGATGTCAACACTGAGTGGCGACAGTCTGTTTCCTGCATAAATGCAATTTATCATAGCCTGAAATTTCCGTTCAAGTATGCAACATGATTGTCGCCACACGGTACTGACCTCATTGTCCACTTTTATATTGGCTAACGCTCCATCCCTGTTACTAAGGACATTAACTCATAGCATACCTTAGAACTATATTTTTTATCATATATAGCATGTCTTATATATATATATATATATATATATATATATATATATATATATATATATATATATAATATTGAGAGAGGGGCGCGATGAATATATTGCCTCTAAATTATGCAAAAATGAAAATAATACAACCATCTTATTTTAACAGATATATTTACAAAAATATCTTCAACTACTAAAGAGTAAATTTGTTTAACAAAATCGCCATTAACTTCAACCATGGCCTACACACGACTTTGGAATCTCCTGCAACTCTTCTGGATGGTGGCCTTGATTAAGTGGGTGAATGCTGCCATAATCCATGCCATTAGTTCATATTTGATGTTAAAAGTATTTTTTGTTGGTTTCTCGCTCAACTGCGCCCCACACATAATAATCAAGGGGGTTGCAGACTTGTGAGTTATATGGCCAGATATAAGGGGTGATGTTGTCGCAGAAATTGTCTGACAGCCATGATTGATTTCTCCTGCTTGTATAGCATGGTGCAGAAGCCTGTTGCCAGGCAGAGGTTCTTCTAGCAGGCACCTTTTTGACGCAGGACAGCATTACCTGCTCAAGTCACTTGATGTATTTCTCTGTTTTCAGTCTGAGGCCCCTTGGGAAGATGAATGAAGGCATAACGTCGCCATCACCTTTAGACTCATCCACTTTATTCCGAATGCTTTGAGCTGTCCACAGATTTACACCCAAGTAGTCTGAACTTTTCGTATTAGAGCTTCCGGCACGAATGTCAAGCAGTGCAGCATAAGGTTTCTAAATTTCTGGGTGAGTGAATTGCATTATGGTCCTTTTTTTCATATATATATGGCGCCCAAATGACCCTGCTATATCTTGCAGTTTACAAAATCAAAACAAATACATGCGCGAAATTAAAAATATGAAATGGCGACAATTTACCCATCCCACCATATATATATATATATATATATATATATATATATATATATATATATTTATCGCGACATCAGACGCTCCAAAATAATATCTGTCAACAAATAGCATAATTATATATATATATATATATATATATATATATATATATATATATATATATATAAGTATAGGTAACTATACTCGTTTCGAAAAACCTTCAATTGTTGATTTGCCAATAATCAAATGAATCTCGAAGGAAAAAAAAGGTTTTAAAAAGACAGAGCCAGGAACATGAAAGTCTGTCGAAAAAAATCGCACAGATACCGATTCAAAGCCCAAAGAAAAAACCCCGACACGAGTAAACAACTAACTAAAGAGTTCAATACAACCGTAGAGCAGACCTAGATAAACCTAGTGGGCCAGACAAACCTACCCAGGTTTCACCCTAAGCGGATCGTCAGGGAAAGCTGGCTTTCCCTAACAATCCGCTTAGGTGAAACCTGGGTAGGTTTGTCTGGCTACTATATATATATATATATATATATATATATATATATATATAAAAAAGTTGCAAATTAAAAAAATAATAATGTTTTATTTTATGAAAGTATTTATTTATTTATATATATATTTGATATTTCAAATTCTCCTAAATCTTTCATCAGAAATAACTGTTTGTTACAAATAAATTAAAATTACTGTTTGTTAGCAAGTAGCGTCCATCGCGAGACGCGGACATCACGTGATATGGAACGTCACTGTTCGGATATTGCTAACTTAAATCTGTCATAAATATTTTAAATGTTGTTTAAAAAGATTTTTTAACTATATCTAAAAAAAATTGTTTAACTATTGAAATGTTTATAAAGATTTAAAACACCCAAGTCCCTATTCAACCCTAGTTTATGTGTATTTAATATTAAAATCCAATATGTTTTTTTTTCTGCGTGTGCATGAAAGAAGGATTGCTGCCTAAATACATAATCTATCTATCTATCTATCTATCTATCTATCTCTCTCTCTCTCTCTCTATATATATATATATATATATATATATATATATATATATATATATATATATATATATATATATATATACGTGCGTAGGTATGCAGAAAATAGAAAAGAACACGTTAGGTGCATAATCCGGGGTTCCTTAGTATTTTTGATTTTATTTTTAAGAAGTCAGTGCTCCATACAGAAGTAGAGCTTTATTATAATAATATTTTTTTGTTTAAAAATATGATTCCTTCGCTACATAAGGTTCTCATGTTTCAAAAACGAGCCAAAATCATCAAATAATTATTAAAATTAAGTTGAATTGTGGTGTTTAGTGCCGCGTCATCTTCAAGCGAAATTTTTAGGAATAAGCTATCTCGGTTTATTCCTAAAATTTCGCTTGAAGATGAAAAAAACGGACGAAACACCACAATTCAACTTAATTTTAATAATTATTTGATGATTTCGGCTCGTTTTTTGAAACATGAGAACTCTATTTTTAAAAAAAAATATTTATATATATATATATATATATATATATATATATATATATATATATATATATATATATGGGGATGTGTAAATTATCGCCATTTCATATTTTTATATTATATTATATTATACTAGCAGCAGAGCCGGGCGTTGCCGGGGATGTAACAGTAAGCGATAGATCAAGTATCGACCATCATAAAGACTGAAAAATAAAATTGAAAAAGATTATTGTTTAAGGTTGACGGACACGCATGTCTTAATTAGGTTTTTTTTTTTACGAATTGGTCAAACCCAAACTCAAACAAAAACATTGTTTTCAATCGTTATGAGTTATGAGTCTACCGATTGAATAGAATTATATAAGCAATTGTCTTGTAAATGGAATTTTTAAAGCATTCTGAATGTAAAAATAAAGAAAAAAGTGTGCAAGACAATAAGAAACACTACCTACCAAAAAAAAGTGAAGTTTTGTTGAAATCGGTTGAAAAATGTAGGAAATCTGACCCCATATATAAACGAATACACACACACACACAAACAACCAACCTGGGTTTTATAATAAGTATAACTCGATAACTCGATATTAATAAGTATAACTCGATATGAGTAGTTCCCCTTTTATTAATGCCTCTTAATCGTGTTTTCAAATTGATTTCGTGCAAAACCAATTGTGTTTTTCCCATTTTTGGCGCTGTCAGAACCACCGCAAGGTAATTTTACGTAGTCCTGTGAAGTTTTGTTGAAATCGTTTGAAAAATGTAGGAAATCCGTTCCAATATATAAACGTACAGACACACACACACACACACACACACACACACACACACACACACACACAATCTGCGTTTTATAATATGTAAGATTATATCATATTATATTATATATATATATATATATATATATATATATATATATATATATATATATATATATGTATGTATATATATATATATATATATATATATATATATATATATGTATGTATGTATATATATATGTGTGTGTGTGTGTTTGCGCGCCTGCGTGTACCCTGTTTTTCTCTTCATGTATGTATGTATGTGCTGGTATTATATGATCAGTCTTACCTGCCTCATGATCGGGTTATCGGTGACTTCGCCTTCGTTAAGTTATTTAGCTAGAGTGAGGAATTCTGATACAGTACTTGTAGATGTTTCACCGAAGTTTGTTGTATTTCATTCAACCTCCGCACTACATATGTAAGATTTCATCGACAAAACCATTAGTAGTCGGAAGACTTCCTTTCAAGGAACGAAACGCGTAATAGGATTTTTCTATTTTGTCACACACTTACCCACTATATTTACATGTGTGTGTCTGTGTGTGAGAGAAAGAGAGAGTGAATAAAACAGTAAGTGAGAGAGGGAGTGAGAGAGACAGTGAGAAAGAGTAACTGTGAGAGAGACTGTGAAGAGAGAGAGGGAGAGAAATAGTGAGGATGAAAGAGAGTGAGACAGTAATAGGTATAATTTTTCCTTCTCCCTTCCAGTCACAGATTTCGATTGTTTGTTAATTCTCCATCAAATCTCTCCCCATTTGATACATGCTCCTCTCTCTTTTGATTTCTTCACACCTCCCCAATTCCTTTATATCTTTCCCGCCATTCCGCGAACTGACAGCCATATACCGATTTCTCTCTTCTCCCTCTCTCTCTCTCAGTCCCGCCTACTCTCTCTCTCTTTCTTTCTCTATCTCTCTCTAAGGCAGCCTTTCGTTTCTTTCTATTATTCTTCTAGTCCTGCCTTCCTTGTCGCAAATGAGTATCTTTCCCACCCTTTCTCTCTCGCCTACTGTCTCTGTGTCTTTTACCTCCGCACACAACATGATTGGCACATGTCATCTTAACACTATGTTTATCTATATTTCACAAAATGAGGTTTCTTTCACTCACTGCCGTTAATTTTCCGTGCGGCTTCATCTTTCTTCCCCACTTGGCAAAACTGACATCATTCCGACCATTTGGAAAACACTCGGCATCGCGAGAATGGCAGGAAGCAAAAGATTCCGTCAAGCAAAAGAAACAAAAAATATATTTAGCAGTTTTTTTTTTAATGTCATATTTTCTTTGGGCTTATTATTTTTTTTCTTATCCGTTTTTCAGCAACCTCTTGTCGTTATTGTTTGCTATTTTGTTAGTTTTAGAGTTTCTTTCGTTTTTCGTTATTTGGCTAGCAAAAGGGTTCATTGTGATGGCTATTTTCGCAGTTTGCTTGTTTGTATATTTCAATTTCAATGTGCACGCGTCCTCACGTATTAGCATGAAGTGCCCCCACACACACACACATACACACACACTCACACACACACGTCATGGAATGGGATGAAGATAAATCTCAAAAAAATATTCGCTGTTCCTAGAAACAGATTACGAGAAATGTCACCCAAAATTTATTCTTTCTTAGATTCTCTCTCTTTCTCTGACTCTCCCTCCCTCTCTCTCTCTCTCTCTCTCTCTGTCCCTCTCTCACAAACACTCATTCTCTTTCTCTTTCTTTCCCTAATTTTCTCTCATTTTTTCCCACACTTTCTATCTCTGTCTCTCTTTCCATATATATTTATATATATATATATTTAATATTAGTGGTCAATATATATATATATATATATATATATATATATATATATATATATATATATATATAAATTCTCAAGAAGATAGAATTCAGGTAGAATTCAATGTCCAGGACAGAGTAAGAATATAATATAAGAGTCTCAAACACTAATATTCCATGGTTATAATTTAGTACATTGGAATCGTAATCACGATCCAATTCAGGCTACAAAATCCTTTGTAGGTCTGATGAATTGGATCGTGATTACGATTCCACTGTAATAAATTATAACCATGAAATATTAGTGTTTGAGACTTGTATATATATATATATATATATATATATATATATATATATATATATATCAAGCATCCGTTCAATGGGGATGCTTTTCTTTTCACGGAACTGGTTTCTTAAAACCTATTGAAAAGACCTTCAGGAGCGCGCAGTACAAGAGAATTTTAGAGTCTTGTCTGATGAAAGGGTGCAAATCGACCCCACCAAGCTCATTTTTATGCAAGATAATGCTCCCTGTTACAAATCAAAATTGATGAAGGAATACTTTGATGAGAAGTAGGTGTGTGTTATGACATGGCCGCCCCAATCTCCTGACCTCAACCCCATAGAAAACTTATGGAGCATTATAAAGTACAGGCTCTCGAAAAAGCAGTTGAAAGCAGGAATGGAATTCAATGCTTGGAGATGGGATTTGCCAGAACCTAATCAAGTCAATGCCAAAAAGGGTTGAAAAGTTTATTCAAAATAAATGAGGACCCATAGATTATTAAATATTTCGAACTATATTACATATTATAAATAAATTATACCTCTATTATTCTTTATTTAAAGCTGTTCGGTTATGTTTCTATTGATTACTAGTTGCAGGAAATAAATGAGTGACTTTTTTTCCATAGTTTTTCCCTAAATCTCATTTATATCCAAAATTATAATTATAAACAACTTTTTTACTAGGTCGGGAAGAGGTCTTTATATTAGTAAGATTAAAAATTAGATTGACCCCAAAAAACAATAGGCGAAAAAAATTTTAATAAAAAAAATCACTTTTATCGAACAGCGCTGTATCTTTGTTTTCCTAACGAAATGTTCCTGTTTCTTAATACCTTGCTTATTTTTAGAAGGCATCTTCGGCTATTTCAATTATCCGTCTGTTTTCTATATACCATCGTCAGTTCTAGCACAGTTAAATTGCAATACGTTGTTGATTTTGATGTTTCCAATTGCTAGCTCGTATATTAGACTGTCTTCTCGGTAATGATAATAAATTCTATTGTCTTACACTTTACATTAGTCTTTTCTTCACGCTTTTCTTTGTCAGCTGCTCCCAAAGAAGCAGTACTTTCTGTTTTGACACTGCCATGAAAACTCTATCATCTTCGTCGTTTATACTATTAATAGCGAACCCACCAATGACAAATCGAGGTATGTCTACTAGTTCTCTTAGGATTGCGTCTTACGTGTCGTGTCCCTTCAGGGCGTAGGCGATCATGTCTCTTCACAACCTCTTATCTCTTGTGGCTTTCAGAAGCATTTATCCATATTCCAAACCGCTTCCGTTGCGTATTTCATTCCCAGAAACACGTCAGGTAGGTAAGTCCGCTGCCTCCTCTATCTCTCTTACACACGGTACCCTAGTTAAGTTTTCCAAGGATTTCTTCTTCATTATGTGTCGCCGCAATTCTCTGTTGTCTCTTTATGTTTCTGAGTAGAGTTTTTTTTTTTTTTTTTTTTTTTGTTCTTATTTTCTTTAAGACTTCCTTCTTGCTTACACGCTCCGTTCATGAAATTCTCAGTATCCACATTTTCTTTACTCTACAGTTTGTTCTAATGTCTATACTTCGAAAAGTTAGAGTCGTTTAATAGAAGAACTCTCATATCCAAATTTATAGCTCTGCCACCCTCTACCTGTTAGCAGGTGGATTGTAAGGGGAAACAAAGGCGAAAAGCAAGGAAAATATTCACTTATTTAATTACAAGCAGATCAAGAAATAATATTCCAAACATTCCTACAAATTATAAACGACAGTGGGATGAAATCTTCATAGGCTAATTATGAAGAAGTGATGACAGAGTTGTAAAAAACTGCAAGAATTCATATCAACTGTTCTTATTAACGAATGTTTTTTCCAGGTAAACAGATATTTGTTCAAAGAAGTTTGAGTTATCAAATACCTACAGAGAAAGGGTTTTATTCCCAAATGACATGACAGCAAACATGGTTGCTATATTAGATGATAACGATCCAGTTTTATCAACACTGCAAATGTGGACAACTGGATTTTGAAGGGAATGGAGAGTTTTGAAGATGATCCAACTTCAACCACCGAGAAAAAAACAATGATCGCGTTGACCACATGGTGATGGATGAGAAGCGATTGGCTGTAAATCAATATAGCGAATGCTATCAGAATATCCCGTGAGAAATATTCTGCACACTGAACATGATATAACGAAGGTTTGTTGTCAAATCTTCTGACACCCGATCAAAAGAGCACAGACTGATCACTTGGCATCGTGGTGTTCTCAAGAACCTGAAGAAAAAGGGTTTTAGCCCCAAAGGACATGCACACTGATATATTCAAGAATGACGGTTCAACTTTCTCAACAGTGCCAAAGTGAGCAGCGAAATTTAGCAGGGGAAGCATGAGTCTTGAAAATGACTCAAGGTCTGATGTTCTGTAAATGGCACTACCACGGAAAACATTGATTGTGTTTATGGATGACAGGTGAATGTATAAAAAATTAAATAGCCAATACTATTAGTATATCCCGTAAGGAAGTTGAGAATATTCTGTACAATGATCTTAGCCTGATAGAGTTTTCTGCTCGGTGGGTGTCACGTCTTCTGACACCTGATCAAGAGCGCACCAGGCTGATCACATCACTGGAAAATCTAACATTGTTTGTGGCAGATCCATCTGTTTTTTAAACGTTTCCTAACCCAAGATAAGTGTTGGGTTCATCACTTTGAGTCAGAGACAAAGAGACAATCCATGTAGTGTAAACACCCTCCTCGCTTATTTCAAAGAAGGTAGTTTCATCTGAAAAGTGATTGCATCAGTTTTTCGAATGCAACAGGTATTGTGTTTATTGACTATCTCCAAAAGGGCCAGATCATCGATGAAGAACAATGTGCCAACTTGCTGTGGCAATTACGAAAATGTATCAAGATCAAACCTCTAGGAAAACTGACGAAATTGTCTTGTTTCATTAGGAGAATCCTAAACAACACATGTTCTTGGTTTCAATAGCTTCTGTGCGTGACTGGGGCTTTCAAATTGATGATTACCTTCCTGTTCTCCTGATTTGTCTATCATCTGTTCCCCAACAGGAAAACTTAGTTGGGAATCAGTATCATAGTGATGATGACGTCATATCTGCTGTTGATTTTTTTTTTACCTGCGGGAAGCACTGTCTTCTTTGCACAGTTAGATCTTAGTTTATCTGGAAAGAGACAATGCAAGACGAATTGAAATTAATGCATGCATGATTTCAAAGTTCTTGCATCATTATTCATTACACCACCTGCACTTTCCGTCTTATGGTACCTAGTATCTTATGGTACCTAGTATCTTATGGTACCTAGTATGGTACCTAGTATCCCCAAGCGGTCACTCATCTAGGTACTCTAAAGGCCCAACGTCGGTACGGTAACCGGTGTTTCAACATGATTTGGCCGTAAGCCTGCTAATTCAAATTTAGTAAACAGTACAAATCTGTGGAGAGACATGATCGCCAGTGTCCTGAAATGACGCGCTATTTATTTATTGTTTTTAATTGGGTTAAACTGTAGAGAGAACTGGTCCTGGCACATGAGTTAATCATTATCAATGGGGGCTCATTGAGGTGTGGTTAACGTACCCTGTGCTGCAAGTAGAGCTATGTTTCTCCCCATTTAAGATGGGGAGAAGTTGCTCAGCCCCGGGGATTCCAACCCTACGGCAGCACCTTTCTCACTCCCCTAAAGAGGTAGGATCGGTGTAATAAAGTGACAGTGATCGCGAGGGCTGGGCAAATATCAATTTTTTTCCTTGTCCCATATGTATAAGTATGCATATGGCGCTCCCCACGTTAAAACCACCTTGTGCCCCATCCGACCTTTGTAGGAAGGCTGTTTAAATATAACTGACACTCCAATCTCGTATGGCAACCAGGCTACGAGACGCAAACCCAATGATAGAAAACAGTGAAGAACGCAATGGGAAATCACTCCGTTCTTAATAATAAAATAAGAAACCTGTTCAGAGCCACGATCACCTAACAGATACCCACTCTATCTTCACTGTAGGTATTTTCAAAGAAAATTAATATTACTTCGAAATGTCCTTCCTCTTTCTATGCTATAGGAAGCCGGTAGTTGGATATCGTGTATCAGAAGCAAAAAGTAATTTCTGACCTGACTAAGTGCGTTCATGCTTTCTCCAAGGGCAAAAGTATGAAGTAAACACTGTTTCAGCGGCATGTTCGCCGATTTTAATGTTCATAAGTCCCCCGTTGTCGCTGCGCCAATCGTGACGTCTGCCTGGCTGCGCCCGCCGTGCTGTCCTAGTCGCGGCGCCAAGTGTGACGTCACCCCGTCTGTCTCAGCGCCGTCGCCGTCCTATCCTGTCCTGTGACGACCAATGTGACTTGGTATTAGTCGCGGCACCAAATGTGACGTTCTAACCTTTTGCTGATTCGGGTGGGAATCTGGTTAGATTCGATATCAGCCTTGTCATTCCCAGCTCGCCTCCAACGTCTGGTTACCGAAGTAATTGTTTTGATTTCTAGTCTAACCTACCCACGTTGTGATTTGATCTTAGGTAGACGAAATCAATCAGTCGCCGGGCCGTAATGCAAGCTGAGTCCAGACAAGGGTAACACCGCACAAGTATATGTAAAAAAAAAAGTAATAACTCGAAAAGTTCAAATGTGTTAAAAAGGAATAACAA